AGATATATCTAGCCTTCTGGGCCTTGATTTTCGAAGCTCTCTTTGCGCTAAGATAGTCGTAACTTAATGTTAATGTATGACACTTACGACTATCTTAGCGCTAAGAGAGCTTCGAAAATCAAGGCCCGGGCCTTTAGAAACTCATCAATGACATAAGCATATCTCGTTTAGAACACTGTGTGGATAGCATCAGAAAATGGATGTCAGGTAAGTTTCTTAAACTTAATAATATCAAAACTGAGTTACTAGTTTCCAAAACATCACGTGTGCAATCAAAACTCCCTCTGCCAGTATTTCGCATAGGAGGTTGCTGCATCAAGCGCAGTTCACAGGCTCGTAACCTGGGCGTCATCTTTGACTCGCAAATGACAATGGAACAACAAGTCAACAGCGTCTGCAGGAGAACATACTACTATCTATGTCAGATCAGCATGATTCGCAGGTATCTGAACCAAATGACCACTGCATCATAGGTCCAAGCATACATCACATCACGGCTGGACTGTTGCAACGCCCCTCTGATGGGACTCCCGGATTCTCTAATTAAGAAACTGCAGCAAGAGTCCTCACGCGCACTAGAAGAAGGGAACTGATTACTCCTGTACTGCATCAGCTCCACTGGCTACCTGTTATATACAGGATTGGTTCAAAATACTAGTGATGGTATTCAAATGTCTACATGGACTTGCTCCAGCATATCTCGCAGACCTCATTAAACTCTACCAGCCAACACCACATCTGAGGTCACAAGATCAACTACCTCTCTGTATCCCCTCCAACAAAACCAGAACATTTGGAGACAGATGTTTCGACACATCCGGACCTACTCTGTGAAACAGTCTGCCATTCAGCCAGAGGTCACATCATGAACTGTCAGCGTTCAAAGCAAATCTAAAGACCTACTTCCGCCCGAAAAATACATTGCGGAAGGTCGCGGATTCGATCCCCAGACTGCGTCATACCAAAAGACGTTAAAATATGGTACTTGTTGGCCTCCGTGCCTGGCGCTCGGCAAAAGTCGCGGATAATGCGTCATACCAAAAAGTTACAAATAAGGACTGAGTCAGTATAATGCATGCCTCACTGCAGCATGGTATCTCAGTGGGCTAGCACTATAAAACCAGCTTCAGTCTGGGCTAGTACAAGCAGCTGCAAATACACATACCCACTCATGCACGTCGTCATATGAGCGAAATATTCTCCAGCGGGATGTTCAACCCAATTTCACCTCACCTCACCTCAGCCTTTAGTAACTGGTGATCTATAGCCCTTCTTTATGTTGTACTGTTATTTATAGTGATATATTCTTCATGATAGCGTACTAGTTTTAAATCAACAGCTATGATACTCTAGTAGTTTTACTGTCCATCAATGACAGTTTTTTACGTTCTTAATTTATTGATTTTAATATCGATATAAATTAAATTGTTCTTGTCACGATATGGCTAAAATATTGCCGATGTGAGGCTAAAAGTGAGCGAGTTCAGTTTTGGACCGCTTTTAGCAATATTCCAGCAAGTTGGGGGACACCAGAAAAATGGGTTCGCACATTGTACCCATCTGTAGGAATCGAACTGGGTCTTCCGCGTGGCGAGCTAACGCTTTAGCCACTAGGCTATTCCACCGTCCCTAAAGAGAGTTCTAGAATTTGGACGAACATGAATACATGACACGTTTTGTGGATAACAACTTCTATCTATTCTTGATATGACGGAGCTAATTGTTGTTCCTTCATAAGGAATAAAAGAACTGCTGTTATCCATGAAACGTGTCATGTATTCAAAATCATTTATGCACCGTCAGCTGTATTCCATACGTAGATGTGATGTATATCATTATTACAATTTCAGCTGTGCACACTTTCAGCAAGGGCTGCTACGACAAGGTTGCGAACTGTCAAACAAGGTTCCATCAGAAAATCCGCAACCTTGAAGAATTGAAAGACAAGTGCCCGTATGTTGACTACGATTTATTTAACCATTACAGTGAGTGAGTGAGTTTGGTTTTATGCCGCTTCTAGCAATATGACGCCGGGAGACACCAGAATTGGGCTTCACACATCGTACCCCATTCTCTTCCCACAGAGGTTACACAAGTCACATCTTCCCACTGTGGGAAGAGAATGACTGTACCCATGTGGAGAATCGAACCCGGGTCTTCGGCGTGACGAGCGAACACTTTAACCCCAGGGCTACCCCATCACTCCTTTAACCATGACACATGACAACACATAAATACAGTCAGTCATCCATGTGTTGGTATGCCCACCCACCAATATTGGACAAACTGATGGTTAGAAGTAGACATATATTGGTAATATTTATGGTGATATTAAAAGTAAACTAACAAGAGACTTTTATTTCCGCTTTTGTTCAGTGTTTCATTTTTCTGTACTTATATAAGCTCTTATTTGATAAAGGAAATATTATTTTAAAAAACATGATTAGTATATAAGTAGCCGAAAAGATATAATCTTTATTATATACAGTGCGTATATTCGTGCTCGGAACATTTTGACCATTTGTTTGGTTTGAAACTATTTTCTTTTTACCCCGACGACGCAAGGATACACCTGCCGATCACCTTTATCACGCATGACCATAATGGCCTCACTCACGCACAGCTTTATAAGAACCATATCTTTGACCTCCAAGCCTGTAAAACATTTCATGACGGACTAAACAGTAGTTCTTTTTTCAACACCTACACTACCCTAATGTGCAGCTGCATGATTTCACTGTGGTCTATGGAGTCACAATTCATCAAACAGACTTGCGTCCCCCTCAGCATGCCAGAAAGATATGATCGTAGGTTCGAATCCCGGTCGCCCTTTCTGGTGTCCTCCGCCGTGATATTGTGGAATGTAGCTAATAGCGGCGATAAAACAACATACTCACTCACTCACTCACTCGTGTAGTATGAGCTTGTCACAGCATTCTCTCACTAACGGCTTTATTGTACCAGCAGTTGTAGCGACGAAGGCACTGGCGACGTTTATTTGTTTGCATTTAATGTTCATATTGTCCCACTAATTATATCAACTAGTGCTCAAAAGAAACTATATGCAGGTAAATATTACATACAAATTTACAAAAATAAAAATGTAGGGATAAAACCATACTGTGCCATGTCACACACGTGTAGACCCATCCTTTCCGGGAACACGCGTAGACCCATCCTTTCCGGGAACACACGTAGACCCATCCTTTCTGGGAACACACGTAGACCCATCCTTTCTGGGAACTAACGGCGAAACAAGTTGCAAACAATCCAAAACGACTATGGTGTGACACGAAATGCACGTGCATACTGACGGTATAAAATAGCCAAGTAAGAAAAATACAAACAATGTGCCACGTTTGAGGCAAATCGAAAGAAGAGCTGTCGGAATGGAATGGAACCACACCGTCGTTGCCAGAACCTTCGGCTGCACCCATCAACTGTCATCATTTATCCAGCAACAACCACAAGGCATCATACACCAAGACTGACAAACGACTTTCTGCATAACGCTAACATCGTTGTTTTGCCGTGGCCAGCATGTCCTCCCGACATGAATCCGATAGAACACTTATAGGACTACCTCAGGCGACAAGGCAGAAGACAAGCAGCGCCACATGTCACCGCTCGACAACTGGAACAATGTCTCCTACAGGAACGGCAACGGATCACGCCTAACGCCATTCGTCGTCATTGAAGCCAGTGGTGGTCACACTCACTATTGATTCAACATTTGATGACATTGCAGAAATAAACCGCCTTGTTGATTTGGGTAAAAGTTCAGACTATGACACTACGTGTCTTTCAGTGTCAGTCAAACGGTACTTTCGACTTTGTGTGAAATGAAATTGTGTACATGTGCTGTAAAATTGAATACTCTATTGAAATTGAACAGATGTTCATTTATGTATGCATTGTTTCCTTTCAAGTTTGGTCAAATACACTGTATACTTTTGAGCACTAGTTTAGTTATAGTAAGCTGGCTATTCAGGTAGCCTGATGGATACTGCGTTAATATAAGATACTCCAATTATTGAAACGATCACAGCAAGAGAATTATTCTCGAATACATATGGTGGCTGATTAGGGCCGTCGCTTTATCGCCTTAAAATTCGGAGGCGAGAAAACGATTTCACGAGACGAGAAAGCGATACCATAAGTACATGACGTACAAATCAAATAGCGGTGAACGTTATATATATGGGTCACTGAGAAGATCGGGTGTTCGCGAAAATGATAACCATGATGTTATTCTCTACCGGAGGCTTGCCGTGAAGATCCGGGTTAGAATTGGTCTTCAGCAACCCATGCTTGTCGTAAGAGGCGACTAAAGGGATCGGGTGGTCACGTCGCTGACTTGACACATGTCATTGTATCCCAATTGCGTAGATTGATACTCATTCTGTTGATCACTGGATTGCCTGGTCCAGACTAGATTATATACAGAATGCCGCCATATTGCTGGAATATTGCTGAGTGCGGCGTTAAACTACAAACATACAGTTAATCAGTCATTCTACCGGAGGTACCCGCCGCTCAGATAGGGCTGTCGGGGTGACGGGCGAACGCTACTAAGGCTGTCTTTGTCATCGTGCGTATTTTCTCATGCAGGTATTACGACACTCTGTTGACATGCTTTACCGAGACAAGATCAATAAGTGAACGGTGTAAAGCAACTGTCTTGAAGAAGACAAAAGCGTTATGCTTGGGTGAAGAAAACAGTTGCGACAAAGGTAAGTGCCAAGGTCAGGTCGGTCAGAGTCGATGTTTTGTTGGCCGCCGTCATTTGGATGGAAAATTGTGGCGTAAAAAAATACAAAACATTATGTCAAACAACCGTGATGACTACTGCAAGTTGATGATCAAATTTAACACAACAGGCGTACAGATTAACAGAATTCATTCGACTAACTCTAATTTGACCCATGGGGTTCAACACGGGAACGTACTTCAGAAATTACCTCCCGGGTTATTCAATGCATCTTTGTTATATTTTAGCCATGTGCAGTAAGGCTGACGGGTTCACTGCAAGTAACGTCTACAGCAGAACTGAGGAGGAGGGTAAGTCTTCATAGAGTGGTGGCTGTGAGCGGGTGAATGCGTGAGTATGGTTTTACGCTGCTATTAGCAATATTCCAGCAATATCACGGCGGGGGACACCAGAATTGGGTTTCGCACATTGTACCCATGAGGGGAATCGAACCGGGTCTTCAGCGTGACGACCAGTCTCTTTAAGCACTAGGCTACCCTACCACCCATAGGTGGCTGGGACTTCACGTAAGGAGGCGTGTCAGAGGCAACAGACCGCTAGTCGACTTTGGAAGCCGTTGGGATTCTGTGTGAGGATAAAGGTCCGATGTTTGTCATGAGAGGTGACTAAAGGGGTTGGCTTGGTTGATGCATGTAATTGTGTCTCAATAACCAGGATCATGATGCCAATCACTGTATTATTTACAACCCTCGTCAGGGAAGTAAGAATGTTGTGTGTCAAACAAACATCAGGGAACTATATATCGGATGAGATGTACTTTGTCCAACCTGGGATGGTTTCATTCAACAGGAAGTGGCTCTGACCCTCTCTTTACGGTAACAAAGAAGAATATATATGTTTTACTACACTTGGCATGTGTTTTACATGCCAAATATAATGTCATGGAAATGGATTATGTTGTTATTTGTTTGAGTTCAAACCGAGGGCAATGGTATCTTATATATTTGGTGTTCTTACAGGATATCACTATAGGTATCACTCTGATGTCTGATACCACTCTCGATATTACAGGACATCACTATAGGTAGCACTCTGATGTCTGATACCACTCTCGATATTACAGGACCGCCCGGGCCACTCGTGTATACCGTGAGTGAGTTAAGTTTTACGCCGCACTCAGCAGTATTTCAGCTACATGCCGGCGGTCTATAAATAATAAGATCTGGACCAGACAATCTAGGGATCAACAACGTGAACATCGATCTACGCAATTGGGATACGATGACATGTATCAGCGAGCCTGACCACCCGATCCCGTTAATGTTACGACAAGCATGGGTAGCTGAAGATCAGTTCTAACCCGGATCTTCACGGGTTCATGTGTATACAATATCTAAAGGCAAGGTCTGCCCCTTAGGACCAACACCCTGAAAATGCTTCGTAAAATACACTTACTCGTTCATTCACCTTAGAAATGGAGGTGATTGGACTGATTCTGTTTTTGGATGTGTAGTACAAGCACGTCATCGACAATACCTCATGGGTTTCGATACAAACCTTCCCAGTCACATGTGAAAATAAACGATCGCTATTTGTAACCAGTTAAGGGGCGGTGGGTAGCCTGGTGGTTAAAGCGTTCGCTTGTCACGCCGAAGACCCGGGTTCGATTCCCCACATGGGTACAATGTGTGAAGCCCATTTCTGGTGTCCCCCCGCCGTGATAGCACTTGAATATTGCTAAAGCGACGTAAACCCCAACTCACTCACTCACTCTAACCAGTTAAGACCTCAATAATTGACATAGTCAGACAGAAGTCAGAAGTTACCAAATGCAGGTAGCACAAACTACATCGTGCTCTACACATTGCTTTAATATCAGACAACGGTAGGGTTCGAACAAAGTCCATGCTCGGAGTAGGGCTCATTCTACTTCCGGCATTTGTTTTTCAATGACTGACTGTTCATCTATCACTGACTGTAGTAAGTTTATCTATCATTTCTGTACAATGTATTCATGTAGGAACATAGTGAAAACATACTCGTGAAGTGGTGACAAGTTTTCTTTTCATATGCTGATTTTGAAGTATAACTTTCATGTACAGAGACATGTCACGAAGACCAGGAGTGTCGTAGAAGAGCTAAAAGGGCCCTTGCAGATGCGTCCAGCCGTACAAAATGCAGGTGAGGTCGGAACCCGGTGGTGCTTGGGTGGATGCGGGGTTGTGAATCCGGGCTTAGGTCGACCATAGGAGTGATCTCGGCCATATTGGAAATAGATTCAAAAGCTTGTCCAGTTTATATCATCCCTAAACAATAAAATCCTGCTTGACAATTATAAAAGATTAAATACAGGTTAACTGATACCATTGAATTCATTTCTAATAGCCAGTTACAATCACCCTCTTCACGATTCCAGGTTAGAATTGGTCCATAGTTTCATGTTTCGGGAGGTGATGTGAGGGTGTATAGACCAACCCCCAAAATGAAAATGACAAATTTGAAGCACTCGGTCATTCCATATCTTGTGTACCCTCCTCGCGCGTCCAAGACACAGGTGCACCTTGTTCTCATGCTCCTTATCAAGTTCGTAAAGAAGGCTTGCGGGCTCGTATTCCATTCCTCTACTAGAGCTGTGCGGAGTCCTGGGAGATCCACTAGTGCTGGGTGACGTGTGTACACACGTGGACCGAGTTCATCCCAGGCATGCTCAATTGGGTTGAGGTCTGGCGAGCATGCTGGTCATTCCATCCGCTCTACAGACTGCTGCCTAAGTAATTCCGTGACAATTCTGGCTCTATGAGGCTAAGCGTTGTCGTCTTGCAGTAAAGAGGATCGACCATAGTTTGCAGGAATGGTACTGCTATAGGAGCCAGAATTTCGTCCCGATAACGCTGTTAGATTACCGTCGGTCACGAGCAATGGAGTACGTCCAGTAGGCGTCATCCCTGCCCAAACCATGTCCGACCCCCGCCAAATCGGTTATGCGTGGCCACAGTTGCATCTGTGATTCGCTCTCCATTGCGACGATAAATCCTCTGCCGACCATCATGGAAGGACAAAATGAATCTGCTTTCATCTGTGAAGAGCACACGAGACCGTTGACGTTGATTCCAGCGGCCATGATGCCCACTCCATCTCAAACGCGCCTGCCTGTGGCGTGGTCTTGGTGGTGGAGTCCGGCTGCCCTTAACGTCGACGAACGGTGCTCCTGGATCTCCTTACATTGTTAACATTGAAGTGTTCTGTCTGAAGATCTGCTGCGGTAAGGAATCTGTAACATAACGCAGTGTTAATCATGTGTCTATCATGTCGGACTGGTGTGACTCTGGGGCGACCTGGTCGACGTGCATATTCTACGGACCCAATGACTTAGTGCTGGTATTGGCATACAACCTGCGATACGATACATCACGATACTATAAGTTTAGTCACGACAATATATCACCAAAGTATTGTGCACTGAAGCTGCGATACGATACGAATTCCGATATAAGGGTGGCGATACGATACGTATCACGATACTAAAATCTTTAATTCTAACACCAACTATAAAATACCTTAAGATTAAAACAAAACCAATTTAAAAGTATTTCGTCAAATTCCGCCAGCATTTTTCAATGTTCATTAGAAACGAAATAATTAAGTTTATACACGAATTTTGAGAATGTTGATATCATACGAGCGCTATGTCTGACACAGTTCTTGACACAAGAATTTCTGAGAAAACGTTTCTTATGAAGGGAAAATATGTAAGCATGTATTTTAATCATCAACCAAAAGTAAACCTTTTTTCTTGACAGATATCGCGATTCGGCAATATTCAAAGTTAAACATCGATGTATTGTGGCCCATTTAAAGTATCGCATCGGGATATACGACAATGTAAAAGTTTGTATCGATTGATTGTATCGGCGGTTCATGGAACGATGTATCGATGCGTATCGATGAATCGTCACACCACTAGGACCCATTGGCATGAAATCAGTGCCAGTCTACCAATAGCACTCTGACTCACATTAAAGCGGACAGCAACCTGCCGCTGAGTTTTACCAAATTCAAAAGGCCTATAGCCTCATTTGAAGCTGCGATTTCAAACAGGTACCTGAACAGTGAACGACAGTGAAAAAGCATCAATGCATGTGTATTGTCCTCCACTTTCCATGGATAGAGCGACTTGCACGTGCAAATCATTGACATTAAGTGGCAGTTGGGTTTCCATATTGACAATGTGAATAAAAATGTGCCATTTGTAACAGAGGTGGTGAGGTGAGGTGAAATTGGGTTTAACGTCGTACTTGAGAATATTTCGCTCATATGACGAAGTGCATGCGTGTGTATGTGTATGTGTATGTGCGGCTGCTTGTACTAGCCCAGACTGAAGCTGGTTTTATAGTGCTAGCCCACTGAGATACCATGCCGCAGTGAAGCATGAATACCCCACTCAGACACATTATACTGACTCTGAGCCGACCAGTCCTTGTTGTACCCATTAATGCCGAGCGCCAGGCAGGGACCAACAAGTACCATATTTTAACGTCTTTTGGTATGACGCAGTCGGGGATCGAACCCGCGACCTTCCGCTTTTCGGGCGGACGCTCTAACCACTACACCACGGAGGCGGTCCATTTGTAACAGAATGTATAGGACATTAAAGAACGTAATAATGACATTTCTTTTAAGAAATAGTGTTACCGATAGCTTGACCCTTCATTAATGACGCCGAGTATATTTGCGCATGCAGCAACATCCGATAAAACAAGAAGAAACTATTTACGTCAAACAAGCCTGTATTGGTTATTGGACCCAGCATTTACCTCCCCTTGATGCAGCAATAAGACGGGTCTCTGTACATAACCGAGTCCGGGCCAGACAATCCAGTGATTCACATGTTGAACAATGATCCGCGCCCCAGGGGTTCATTCTGTGTCTATATGAAACATAACTTCAGAAACATGCGACGAAACCCTGCCCACAATAGGAAGTAACTGCTTAAAGCAGTGTGCATTGTACGTTTCGCGACTATATCATAAGCATCCCTATGAAACAGTGAATCACTATCCAATAGTGATGATACAAGGCGACTCACTCTACTACACCATCCACCCATTGGATATGAGTGGGTGAGTGAGTGAATGGCGTTTTACGTCCCTTTAACCAATATTCCAGCAATATCACGGCGGGGGACACTAGAAATGGGCTTTACACATTGCACCCATGTGGGAATCGAACCTGGGTCTTAAGCTTGACGAGCGAAAGCTTTAACCACTAGGCTACCCCACCGCCCCCATTGGACATGTGCATACCTATACCTCTTACAATCGGAACATATAGCAAACCTCTTTCCAAAGTGTTCATCCTGGTAAGTTTTGAATTTGTAATTCTGAGCTCTGATTCATATTTGTTTTACTTTTATTGTGTTGATCTGAGGCGTGGTTGGGAAATGATCAGTACGGCCGATGTATCGGTATTTGTAACCTTGTTTCAGTATGTACCGGGAGGACTATAAATGTTACGATGCGATTCCGAAGACCTGCAACTTTTCCGGGAAAGTGGCCACCCAAAAGAACAATTGTGTTTCGAAGTGCAAGTCATTGAATGTCACGGTCAGCGGTAAGTTCATGTTCTTTACGAGTGAGTGAGTTAATAGTGTAACAAAACGTCTAAAGATGGCACTGCTTTGGCTCCAGGTTGATATCACTGTACCTCGATTACCCTGAGAGTTGCTCATAATAGTCATCCAAGGTTTGTCTGGTCCAGAACCGATTATTTACAGGACGCTGTGATGTAGCTGAAATGCCCTGAGTCTGGTGTTAAAAGACACAGAAACATTAAAGATAGTTTGCATACAGTCCCGTAACTGTACCAGGATCCGCTTAACACAATTCTTTCACTTTTCCATAAATGTCAAATCTTGAATATCCGATTTCGCAGAGCTATATCATACGTAGGACGGCAGTAAGGTTATGGTGTGTGAGTGAGTGACCTCGGTTTATCGCCGCCGTAAACAGTTGTTCAGGTATATTACGGTTTGTCTGCTCCATGGGGGTAGAAAGCCTCAAGATATGCAGACACTAGGCGTTGTTCGCCTTAGTGAAACCAACGAGCCTTGGTGCTGACAAACCTATAAACCTTATCAGGCTGAACTTTAGATTCGAACCGAGCATAAGGGATGCAATTCAACAGAGACAGTAGGATACTGCGTTCGTAGACGACTTAGACTCCAGTTCCTGGCTGTACGTTGAACAAGACTAATGTACAACACATTCTATTCAAACTCAGCGTCAGGTTTATTGAACAAATAAGTGGCAGCAGCACTAGTACATGACGTAATGGAACGAACATGTCACGACTGTCCGGAATTTGTCACTGTCAAATGTCATTCAAAAAATGCCCGTTTCTGTTCTTGAATCCGGACGTGTTGGAAGCGAGTTTGAATATGTTTTGTGCTGATACAATCCAGTTAGCACCTGGCAGGCTGTATAAGATGGTTGTCAAGGTGCAGATAGGTGTCAAGAAACAGCCACCCGAAACCTCTCGAACGATAAGGCTTTTTTTAAGCTGATCAACAGCCAAGGGAGGTAACTCTAATCACACTGTTATAATCTGGTAACAACAGCCTTCGACATTTTATCGGCGCTTTAATCACCTGGTACAGTCACTGGCGGTGATTACGAATCTATGAGAATATTGGTGAATAACAATTCTGTATGTAACCCCAAGACAATTGCAGCCGATTATTTAGTTTTATAAATATGTTGCGTTTGTTTTCTCGGGGGAAAGTAGTGCATGTTGCTACTATTGTCGGGAAATACATCGTGCAACTACTGAGTCACAGTCAGCTTTGTTGAGCTAATCTAATACACTGTAGAGATAAAATGGAGGCAACTGTCCTATTATCATACACGTAAATGGATACGGTCTGTAAATAGCAGTCTGGAAAGTTCAATGATTGAATTGCTACAGCTGAACGGTTGGGCTGGTGGTTAATACATATATATATATATATTGTGCTGTTCAGTATATGGATCACTATTTTCATGTTTTACTTTCATTTTGATTTCCGGGATCTTTGTTTTCAGAAAACTGTGAATTGAAAGATGTAGCCCAATCAGCCAGTCCCGTTTCCAATCTTCCTGCTTCCATGACAACCATATCTCCAGTTGTTAATGATAGTCATACAGCTGGAAGGGAAACGACAACTGCGATTCAGAGCGGCACAGCTGACGATGACGACAACGCTGGCCGAATATTGGGAAACATGACGGACACTGGCAATGACGTCCGTACCCTGTCACCACTATCTGATGAAAGCAAATCAGGTGCTGGTTTAATGCGGGCACCTGTGGGTGTTATGGAGATCCTGCTTGTATGGACACTTGGACGTTTACTGTAACAAACACCTGAGACAAAACGGGTTACTTTTGTTTCACCTAACGGAACGTGCGTGTTTTTCTTTTTATTGGGGAATGGGAGGTGAGTGTGGGTGGGGTGATGGCAACATGTTAAATTCTTTTCATTATTATTTCTCTGAAATTAGACCATGCTCTCAGCTTTCGTAATTTTTCCATCCACTGACCTTGATGAATTTGTTTAAGAGATTAGATTTAGATTTTCAATATGGCCGTCACATCAGCCATTTTAAACAAATCAACTTATGGCAGTTGCACAGTCACGTCTTTTTCAATAAAATGGCAAATGGCATACGTTCCCTATTATACTGTATTGTTGTACCTTTACTTCACCTCTCTTCTGTCACTGTAATGTTCATTCTGCCTAATACATTCTGAAACTGGTGACTGCCTAACCCATGGGGCTCGTACACATACAAGCCAAGTTTGTTTGTTTAACTGTTTGCTGATCAGAATGCAGTTTGTTGTATATGCAGATCAATAAAATCAGATATTTTCTGCTGTAAGAGTTCAATATTAAACTTTTAGCGAAATATTATTGTGAATGCGGAATGGGAATTGTCGTACGCGTTTGAATAAGATTGACGTGAAGGTGATTTGTCATGGAAGATTACTCGATCTGACGATTCGTCACTTCCAAAATCGCACGGGGCGGCTGGGTGGTTAAAGCGTTCTCTCGCCACGCCGAAGACCCGGGTTCGATTCCCCTCATGGGTACAATGTGTGAAGACCATTTCTGGTGTACCCCGCCGTGATATTGCTGGAATAACGTCACAAGCGGCGTACAACGTCACTCACCACACACTCCAAAATCGCACGAACACATGGCCAGTCCCAGCAGGTTCCGTGTAGGGAGCTCACTGTGCAGGATCCGTAAGGCAACACTCACAACTCACAAGTGCTGCGAGTCGTAATGTGGCTTATTTGTTTTGGGCAAAATGTTAACAATGATTCATTCATTGATTCGACATTGCATGCTTCTAATAAAAAAAACCCAATCATTTGGTCTCCGTCTGCTCTCCTGTGAGTCGCTCTCTGTCAGTGGTCCTGAGTCGCGCACTGTCAGTGGTGATCTGTCGGTCATACCAGGGATAATCTACAGCGTGTTCTTCTCTCCCTGATCATACGGATCTCCAATAAAATATTGAAACAAACTTGTAATACGTACCGAAACATCCATCCAGATAGTCAGTCAACATATCCTCATTGGGTATGCTGAGATAGAGTTGGTCCCCAGTAAAGAAAGCCTATCTGAGAAAGCCTGATCGGCTGGATCTTTGCTCCTTCTGTCAATCACTTGATTAATAATGCAGACTTCATTATTTACAGACCGCCACCTTATGGAGCTGGAATTTTGAGTTTGGCGTTAAACAACATGCGCACACACACATACGCTTGAACGCGCGTTGACACCCTGATCTCGCAATTTAAGACGATTTACCTCTTACAGTTTTTTGGTTTTGGCGTAGTCCCTAAGCCTAATGATTATAGCCTTTCAAAATAAATAATTAAATTTAGACACTGCGGTTTGAGGGTGAGCTGTCGCTGCGAGGAGCTTCAATGTGTAGCATGCGATGAACTGGAGTGGTAAGCTTTCAAGGGGAGGCTACTCCCAAATGTTGTAGACTTGTTTACATGGACTATGAACCTGACGAGGCCCTGCTAAATGTTCGAGATCTTCTTACCCTAGGTCACAAATAAGCTTCTTTCAAAGTAAGTATATTTGCATTGCTAGCGTGTATCAGTGAAAATTCTAGAATAATATATGCATGTCACATCGCTTGTTCTCTACAGTTGGCCATTAATGGTGATATATTTTAATCCTCAGGCTCAGTTCTGAATCTTGCCATGAGCGGTATGTACATATACAAGTTAAACTTTCCTTGCCACTTCTTCAGAAAGTGTATTCCGAGACATATATTCAATGCCACAAAAGGGAATAAATCAGAAATAATACCTTGTAAACCATTTACACAGATCTTCATCTCTTAGCATAAATATATCTTATCCATATATTACTGTACATTGTTACATTAGATATGTGATGCTGAAATAAATGTGACTCAGCAAAATGTTGCCGTTGCTCATGCTTATATACTTCTTGCAAGGTTACTTGTTTGCCCGAAACATCTCATGACAGTTGCTTGTAAGTGATAAAAACAGTTACTACTACCTACGACCTACACCCATTTTCAAGGGTCATTGACCTGATTCTGTTACCTGAAGGTCCATGACCATATGTTCGATCACTCACTCACTCACTCACTAATTCACCGTTCTACTCATCATTCAACGCACTCACTGTTACCCATCCACCCACTCACCCTTCTACTCATGTGCTTACCAATCCACTCACTCACCCGATTAGTCACTCATCTTCCACTCACTCACTCACTAACTGTTCTACTCAGACACTCATCTTTCAATTCACTCTCCTAACCATTCACTCACCTACTTAATCACTCACTCACTTACTCACTCACTCACTCACGTTCCAGCTTGTATGCAATAATGGCATCAAGACAGATCCCACAAACGATGAGTGAAGATCATTTGGTGTCACAGCTGAGTCCAAAGTTCTGGAGTCCACCTCGTAAAACAAACTCGGCACACCCCTCACTCCCTTGTAGCAATAATGGCATCAAGACAGATCCCACAAGATGCGGAAGATCATCTGAACAAGTAGGTCCTAATGAAAACTTACATACAGCCCCAGCCTGGTCCGGATGTGTTGTTCAAGGTCCTCATGAAAACTTACATTAAGGACCATTGGGTCGGTGGTCAATAAAACTTGTAACATCATTGAAAACATGTTTGATCCCCTTGAAAGGAATAATGTATTAAAGAAAGGGAGGTTTGTTTCAATGATGTTTTACTTGACTGCTCACATACTTTCAAGTGTATTTACTTATGCAGTAAAAGTGAAATTTTATTCTTCACCACTCTCACTTTTCTGTAGCCTACAAGCCATTTGACATGCTCAAGAATGAAACAATTTGTCACCTGTGTTAAAAATGGCATAATAAAATGCACTTCATTATTTCATATTTATTACATATTTGGGAAATTTTGATACAAAAAATCCATTAACCTTTTATACTCTTCAGCCAGGAAATATTCACTAGATGTTTGAAAACTGTTGACTGTAAGCATGTAACAGTAAGCTTGAGTGGGGAGGTTACAGCTTTCAATGACAGATGTTCATTTCCAGGTATGTGGGCATCAATGCCTCAGACATCAACTATACAGCAGGGAGGTACGATACAACACTCAAACCGCCATTCGACACCGGGTTTGAGGTAGGGACATAGTAATTACAAAGATGCAAACTGATTCAAGTTTTAACAAACAAACAAAAAAAATTAAAAGTTTTTAAAATACCATAGTCCTGTGTTCGGGTCACAGGTGACAAATTAGGTTTTGGTTGTGGAGTCCAGTTGAATGGGTGACCATATTCTGCAGCTTGACTCCTGAGAGTTTCTAGGGCTTCACTCCTGACCTACACGGAAGGACATGTGGTGTCTTTTCAGGCAAGTGACTGTCCGAGCCTCTGTTCACCTTGCAGTGAATGGGTACCTGGTAGGAACAAATTGTGATGTAAATGTGAACCTAGCACCAAGAGATAAATTGGGTTTTATACTCCACAGGGAGTTACAAGTGTAATAATGGTATCCATCACCATGAACGTTTCCTTGGTGGGTGGAGTCTACATATCAACTGTCATAGACCGCGATGTCATCTCAGCAATGTTTTCAACCTATGAATGCTGTTAGCTGCAGCTCAACACACAGTCTCTTTATCACACATGTGTAAAATTCCTCCACTTGCAAGTTAGGGCTTGTAAAGTATCTTTTCACAATCAAGAACCGCCTCCGTGGTGTAGTGGTTAGAGCGTCTGCCCGGAGAGCGGAAGGTCACGGGTTCGATCCCAGACCGCGTCATACCAAAAGACGTTTAAATATGGTACTTGTTGGTCGACCGCATTAATGGGTACAACAAGGACTGATCGGCTCGGAGTCAGTATAATGTGTCTGAGTGGGGTATTCATGCTTCACTGCGGCATGGTATGTCAGTGGGCTAGCACTATGAAACCAGCTTCAGTCTGTGCTAGTACAAGCAGCCGCACATACACATACACACGCATGCACGTCATCATATGAGCGAAATATTCTCAAGCACGACGTTAAACCCAATTTCACCTCACCACCACAATCAAGATATGACATTGAGTGTTTGTCTGAAATTCAGGGTATAATGAGAATTTTGATATTTAGGGTATTGGTGAAGTGGTGGCTGCCGGTGATCAGAGCAAGGTGAAGGTCGGCCAATCTGTCCTCTACATGATGATGGGGGCATTCGCAGAATACAAGGTTTGAAGATTCAAGTTTTGAAATTATCTTCCATCAATAATAAGAAATGCATGTAATCAGTGTATGAAATAAGATAAAAACCCAGACAGACATCAAAATGTTACCAGCCCAAAACGGATTTAACCATGTATGGAACATGTTATCTAAAACTTTTACGAGACCAGGCTGGCTAGCTATAAATTTAGACTATCTCTCAGAAATCTAGCTCGTCTCCAGCGTTTGGACGGGCCTTATTTTATACACTGATGTAATGTCTTCTATTTCAGTATTTACATTTGTTCCGACTCAGTTTTAAGATAGTGACTCTGGATTGTCTGAATTGTGACCTTAGTCACACATTGTCATATGAAGTGAAGCCTGACACATGTCAATTCTGCTGTTGCATTATGCTAATGTAAGGAGAGTGTTGTGGTTCTCCACTTCTGACACAGTGTGATCTCCATGACCGAAAAAAATTCAACATGGCTAACAGGAAGTTGTTGTGCCCCTTATATCAATAAAAGCCCCTTACAAAATTGAACATTGTTACATTCTGGAAAAAGTCCCATACATTTTAGTTCCTACGGTGTCTATATGACAGGTGTATTTCAGTGATATTCAAACGAAATCATAATTTGGGGATTTGCAATATAAGATCCTTCAAACATTGGAGTTACACCCAGACCTGAGAGTTAAACTGGCACTGACGGAGTTGAAGATGTATGGGTATGTTTAAACTGGCACTGACGGAGTTGAAGATGTATGTGTATGTTTAAAGTGGCACTGTGAGGAGTTGAAGATGTATGTATATGTTTAAAGTGGCACTGACGGAGTTGAAGATGTATGTGTATGTTTAAACTGACACTGACGGAGTTGAAGATGTATGTGTATGTTTAAAGTGGCACTGACGGAGTTGAAGATGTATGTGTATGTTTAAAGTGGCACTGACGGAGTTGAAGATGTATGTGTATGTTTAAAGTGGCACTGTGAGTTGACGGATGTTGTATGTTTAAAGTAGCACTGACGGAGTTGAAGATGTATTATGTTTAAAGTGGCACTTGTTGAGTTGAAGATGTATGTGGCGAGGAGTTGAAGATGTATGTTTAAAGTGGCACTGACGGAGTTGAAGATGTATGTGTATGTTTAAAGTGGCACTGGATGGAGTTGAAGATGTATGTGTATGTTTAAAGTGGCAGTTGAAGATGTATGTTTATGTTTAAAGTGGCACTGACGGAGTTGAAGATGTATGTGTATGTTTAAAGTGGCACTGACGGAGTTGAAGATGTATGGGTATGTTTAAAGTGGCACTGACGGAGTTGAAGATGTATGTTTATGTTTAAAGTGGCACTGACGGAGTTGAAGATGTATGTGTATGTTTAAAGTGGCACTGACGGAGTTGAAGATGTATGTGTATGTTTAAAGTGGCACTGACGGAGTTGAAGATGTATGTTTATGTTTAAACTGGCACTGACGGAGTTGAAGATGTATGTGTATGTTTAAAGCGGCACTTTCGACGGAGTTGAAGATGTATGGGTATGTTTAAAGTGGCACTGACGGAGTTGAAGATGTATGTGTATGTTTAAACTGGCACTGACGGAGTTGAAGATGTATGGGTATGTTTAAACTGGCACTGACGGAGTTGAAGATGTATGTGTATGTTTAAACTGGCACTGACGGAGTTGAAGATGTATGTGTATGTTTAAACTGGCACTGACGGAGTTGAAGATGTATGGGTATGTTTAAACTGGCACTGACGGAGTTGAAGATGTATGTGTATGTTTAAAGTGGCACTGACAGAGTTGAAGATGTATGTGTATGTTTAAAGTGGCACTGACGGAGTTGAAAGATGTATGTGTATGTTTAAAAGTGGCACTGGACGGAGTTGAAGATGTATGTTTATGTTTAAAGTGGCACTGACGGAGTTGAAGATGTATGTGTATGTTTAAAGTGGCACTGACGGAGTTGAAGATGTATGTGTATGTTTAAAGTGGCACTGAGGCGGAGTTGAAAGATGTATGGGTATGTTTAAAGTGGCACTGACGGAGTTGAAGATGTATGTGTATGTTTAAAGTGGCACTGATGGAGTTGAAGATGTATGTGTATGTTTAAAGTGGCACTGACGGAGTTGAAGATGTATGTGTATGTTTAAAGTGGCACTGACGGAGTTGAAGATGTATGTGTATGTTTAAAGTGGCACTGACGGAGTTGAAGATGTATGGGTATGTTTAAAGTGGCACCGGACGGAGTTGAAGATGTATGGGTATGTTTAAAGTGGCACTGGCACTAATGAGTTGAAGATGTATGTTTATGTTTAAACTGGCACTGGACGGAGTTGAAGATGTATGTGTATGTTTAAACTGACACTGACGGAGTTGAAGATGTATGTGTATGTTTAAACTGACACTGACGGAGTTGAAGATGTATGTGTATGTTTAAACTGACACTGACGGAGTTGAAGATGTATGTGTATGTTTAAACTGGCACTGACGGAGTTGAAGATGTATATTGTATGTTTAAACTGGCACTGACGGAGTTGAAGATGTATGTGTATGTTTAAAGTGGCACTGGACGGAGTTGAAGATGTATGTGTATGTTTAAAGTGGCACTGACGGAGTTGAAGATGTATGTGTATGTTTAAAGTGGCACTGACGGAGTTGAAGATGTATGTGTATGTTTAAAGTGGCACTGACGGAGTTGAAGATGTATGGGTATGTTTAAACTGACACTGACGGAGTTGAAGATGTATGTGTATGTTTAAAGTGGCACTGACGGAGTTGAAGATGTATGTGTATGTTTAAAGTGGCACTGACGGAGTTGAAGATGTATGTTTATGTTTAAAGTGGCACTGACGGAGTTGAAGATGTATGGGTATGTTTCAGCTCCTGCCTGCCAAACATGTCATCCCTGTTCCAAGTTCCAACCCAAAGTTTATTCCCTTCCCCGTGAGTGGGTTGACGGCCGCCATCAGCTTAGATAAGGTAAGTCTTCAGTGGAAGGTCATCACGACTTGCAAGCATCAATTTAACTTGCACCTTGATTGCTGGAGTTGAAACATGACTCTGGTAGTAAAATGTTGAATGCGGGCTTTTCAGGAGTTGAAGGTTTTACAGTTTCTACAAAAGTGAGGTGGTTTAATAACCTGGGATATGTTATTGTGAACCATTACAGTAGCTGCAGTGTTCATGGAACATTTGATGAGAGAATCACATGTAGATGCTGTGCAATATTCAGACACCTGAACTTGGTCACATGTAGGACTGAGCACACTGTGGTCACCTTTTCTGATTGTTAAATTCTTAAAACTCCTTGTCAAGCCTCACACTTTTTGCATTTGTTGGCTTGTGTTGACACCCCTAGTGACATATGTAATGACTTTATCATTATGGGTTGAAATGAACAGAGGTATATTTTCAGTGAAATATGTTTGTGTGACAATAGGCTGTCTGGCATAGCTTTGCTGTGGTTATATGCACCAGGTGAAGACTAACAATTTCAACATTGAGTGAGTGAGTGTGTGAGCGAGTTTAGATTTACGAAACTTCTAGCAATATTCCAGAAATATCATAGCAGGGGACACTAGAACTTTTCACGCCTTGGGGGAATCGAACCCAGGTCCTCCATGTGACAAGCTAACGCTTTAACCACTAGGCTACCCCACCGCCCAATTTCAACATTGGACAAGGAGGGTCCTTGGATAGGTGTCCATGTTCAGTAGTTTACTCTAGAGTGTTTCCAGTAGTTCGGTAATGTCCCACACTGAAGCATGCATATCTCATGTGATGTCTCCTGACGTACGTCTTGTGACTTTGTTCTAACATCTGTAATATGTGGGATTACACTTCCTTTGTAAAGTACAGATTCTAGTACTTTTGTTGGGTTGAGTCCCATCCGGGATTCGAACACACACCCTCATATCTCTTTTCACCCTGCTGTAAATGGGTACCAGGTGGGATGAGATGACTGTTGAGTTGTATACTCCCCAAGGAGCTGAGAATGAATATCTAGTACAAACTGATGTTTGACTCGGCCAGTTGTTGGCACTTTGAGCATTCACCTTGTGTATGGAAGCTAGCACAATAGAAGTACATGTGTTATATTGCCATTACTGTTGACGATACTCTATTTGCCAGGTTGGGGAGATCCAGACAGGAGAAAAGGTTCTTGTGACAGGTAAGTAAGAAAGATGGTACGTCTTAGAAAGCATAGGGTGAGATAATACCTAATCACTAGGAGAGCAACTATTTAATTTATGTGGGATTTGTTTCACAGATTTAATAATGTTTGTGTCCTTAATTCAAAACATGATCAATTTCCTGGGCAAAGTCTAACTGAACTATTTGTTTCCACAACCAATGTTGTGTTTCTACTGATTGGTGTGTTTGTTGTTGCAGCTGCTGCGGGGGGCACCGGTCAGTTTGCTGTGAGTGGACTCTGAGCGTTTTTTGTTTGAACTAATCAATGAATTAACTTTCCTATTGAAATCCTTTCATTCAATATGTCACATATCAAATCCATGTGTCTCTTCTTGAACAGGGGCGGTTGGGTACCCTAGTGGTTAAAGCGTTGGCTCGCCATGCCGAAGACCCGAGTTCAATTCCCCACATGGGCACAATGTGTGAAGCCCATTTCTGATGTCCCCTGCTGTGATATTGCTGGAATATTGCTGAAAGGAGCGTAAAACTTAACTCAGTCAGTCAATCTTCTTGAACAAAGTATCAGAACATTAGCGTGGATTATTCCGTCTCATCAGGTCCAGTTGGCGAAGCTAGCAGGCTGTCATGTCATCGGTACCTGTTCTAGTGAGGAAAAAGTGAACTTTCTAAAGGTATGTTTTAATAAATAACTAATAATGAATAACACCATACCAGAATAAAATAACTACCTCTTGTCGCATATTTTATATCCAGTTAAGAGAGGACATATTCATCTACAGGAATGTGCTAGCATGTGGCCAATGTTGCCTAATCTATTAGCCAAATCAAATCTAATCCTCATCTATTGGCTTTGGAAACTTCCTGACATAATAAGTCTTAACAGCCCTTGCAGTGTGAATAGAGGACAATGTACTTGGTGTACGTAGCAGAGTGGCATAGTGTACTTGGTATATTAGAGATGATCATCAAGCATCACCATGAGGCTGGAAGACCTGAAGTATCATGTGACTCAAAGTTCAATGCTGTGGAATTCTCTTTCTCTAAAGGACACCAGTGTTATAATTGTAATAAAGAAACTATTGTGCTCTATTGTGTTAGTTAAAATTGTAATTAAAATTGCTTGAAAGGGGCTATCAATGCCAGGGTGGTGAAACGCCTGATGGCAATGATCAGATCAGCCTCATCATGACCTTGATTGATGGAGGTACAGTGTGGCTACTGAATACATCATCTTTATACACAATTACTGAGGATGTGGAACCCAGTTTGGTGTATCAGGTGACTAATATGTTGTGTGAGACTGCAGGATGTGCTTCCTACCACATTAGCTGCAAATGCCAAAGACTCTGCATTTCAGAAAATCAAAGTAATGAATATTATTTCCTATTGACAACTTTCTAATAGAGTCTTGGCTGTGACAGACCAATCAACTACAAGGTTGAGAGTGTCAAAGACGTCTTGAAGAATGAATACCCGGTAAGTTAAACAGTTGTCTTAATAGAACTTGACTTCTGTATGGACAAAGACTTTCAAGCAAAAATTAAATCATTAGAAATGATACCTCAAGCTGAGAGACTTTGATTCAGCATAGTTGAAACATTTTAGGTTTACTGTTTATATGCAAGTACATTTTTTTGGTAAATGAATCAGAACAGGACCTCGTTCCACAGAGTGGTCTTTGAGCTACAATAATTGTGGGCCGGGGTTATAGTATGGGAGAAACAGTCACCTTTGAGATCGTTTTGTGAAACAGGGTAGAGTTGGTCTTCAGCAAGCCATGTTTGTTGTAACAGGATCGTGTGGTCAGGCTCACTGACTTGGTTGACACATATCATCATATCCCAATTGCGTAGATCGACACTCATTATGTTAATCACTGGATTGTCTGGTCCAGACTTTATTATTTACAGACTGCCGCCATATAGCTGGAATATTGCTGAGTGTGACATAAATAACAATCAGTCAATGTGAGACTGGCTCAGATCTTAGAAAACATCAAGTTCAGTTTTGATATTCTGTTGCGCGAAGTGTAGCTTTTGTTCCAGGTAATATAGTTTGCTTGTTCAGTTTCTGCTATGCAGTGTTTGTGTTTCAGGGTGGTGTTGATGTTGTCTACGAGTCTGTGGGAGGGGAGATGTTCGATACGTGTGTCAACAGGTAGATGTGTCTTGTACACTGTGTTTGTGTTTCAGGGTGGGGTTGATGTTGTGTACGAGTCTGTGGGAGGGGAGATGTTCGATACATGTGTCAACAGGTAGATGTGTCGTTTGTTTGTTGTTTAATGCCACATTCACCAACATTCCATAAAACTGGGACACGATGACATGCATCGAGCAAGTCAGCGAGTCTGACCACCCGAACCTGTCAGTCATCTCTTACAACAAACATGGGTTGCTGAAGATCGGTTCTAACCCAGGTCTCTTAAACACTGACTGAACTATTTGTTAGATTCCTGTTGAAGTTCTGGTGTTCCTTGTCGTCATATTGCCGGAACATTGCTGGAAGGGGCATGAAACTAAGGGACCCTTCATAATTTATGGCTAGTGGGGTGATAATGATTTTAAGGGGGGTCACCCATTTTGTTCTGGGGAGCAAGGGGGGGTCATCAATTTTGTACACATGTACTAGGAAGTAGGGGGCAGCATTCACATTGTACATGCTTCTCCATAAAAATCATCATACACCACCACCCCACCACCCCAAGTCATAAATTATGAATGGTCCCTGAACACAATCAATCCTGCTGAACCCATTGTCACAAGCATCAATATCAGATGTATGTAACTGTGATCTGTTAAACTATCTGATGTATGTAACTGGGATCTGTTACTATATCAGATGTATGTAACTGGGATCTGTTACTATATCAGATGTATGTAACTGGGATCTGTTAAACTATCTGATGTATGTAACTGTGATCTGTTACAATATCAGATGTATGTAACTTTGATCTGTTACAATATCAGATGTATGTAACTGTGATCTGTTAAACTATCTGATGTATGTAACTGTGATCTGTAACAATATCAGATGTATGTAACTTTGATCTGTTACAATATCAGATGTATGTAACTGTGATCTGTTACAATATCAGATGTATGTAACTGGGATCTGTTACAATATCAGATGTATGTAACTGGGATCTGCTAAACTATCTGATGTATGTAACTGTGATCTGTTACAATATCAGATGTATGTAACTTTGATCTGTTACAATATCAGATGTATGTAACTGTGATCTGTTAAACTATCTGATGTATGTAACTGTGATCTGTAACAATATCAGATGTATGTAACTTTGATCTGTTACAATATCAGATGTATGTAACTGTGATCTGTTACAATATCAGTTGTATGTAACTGTGATCTGTTACAATATCAGATGTATGTAACTGTGATCTGTTACAATATCAGATGTATGTAACTGTGATCTGTTACAATATCAGATGTATGTAACTGTGATCCGTTACTATATCAGATGTATGTAACTTTGATCTGTTACAATATCAGATGTATGTAACTGAGATCTGTTCCAATATCAGATGTATGTAACTGTGATCTGTTAAACTATCTGTAGAGAGACATTTTAGGCCATTTTGTCGATATTTTGCCAATTCTGTATTTGTTGTAAAAACATCACTCAGCAACATTCCATTTACCAACCATCCAAACCAGACACATCAGTGGTGGATATTCAGAGCGACCGTTCATCGCTGTTGGGGTATAATGACATAGAATCTACCATATCACCATGTTGGACCATCTGACAACACAGGGTGCTGGGGAATTGGGGTTCAACCTTTGACCGCTTCATATCTAAATACGATGCAATAATCTTGACCATGACATTAACCCCTTTTCAACTCACTTAATCTCATGTTTGACATGTGATATGTTTTTGTTCTCAGTTTGGCAACAAAGGGTCGGTTGATCATTATTGGCTATATCTCTGGGTATGAGAGTCAAGCTGGGTTCAAACCTTCACGGCTGTCAGCTCTGCCACAGCGGGTAAGGCAACATAAAGTACAAATAGTTGGACACATTTCCTTTGAGAAAACAGAATATCACAATATGTTGCCAACTTCCAGTGATAAAAGAATGTTCTATACCTATTTTCCCAATCAATAATTGAATTATTCTTTTGAATTTTAAAATTTTATTTATGATACTTTTTGCATTGATTTATGAAAAGACCTCAATTTAGCAGCCAATTATCAGCACACACTGCTTACTTTGCGACATGTAACACCCAGCTCAGTTTGATCGTACCTGCATGGTGAACTACAGTGTTGAGAGCCTGAATAAATGTTAACAAGTTCATGAATATATTTTATGTTGTATATTTTGTTAGTTTTTTTGTGTAACATTTTTTGTTTAAATTCTTTTCACCAGCTTCTGCCCAAATCAGCCAGCGTGCGGGGTTTCTTCTTGTTTCATTATACCAACTGTATACAGGAATACATGGCCAAACTCACCACGCTCTTCACACAAGGCAAGCTGCAGAGCGTGATAGACCAAGGGGAGGCAACTCCTAAAGGGCCATTTGTTGGACTGGACAGTGTTCCAGATGCTATCGATGTGAGTACACATTGATGGTTGAGTCAGTGAGTGAATGCTGCTGTTATCAGTAATACATCAACTACATCCTAACAACTTGTAAATTACTGGAGTCAAACAAACCTAACAAGGGGTGGTTTTATAAATGATATTTTTAAAGAATATTTTCTTATGATCAGCACATTATATTATATGTTGCTGTGAGGGAGGGCTGTTTGGTGTGCCAGAATCATGCCATACTAGAGACACTGTGTGTTATGTTTGCAGTACATGTACCAGGGCACGAACAAGGGAAAGGTGGTGGTTCAGCTGGGGGCCTCCACATCCAGCAAACTGTGAAAGCAGTCATCAGGAAAATAGTTTGAAGAACTAGGAGAATGAGTCTTGCTTGATGTTGATATTCCAAGAAATGTATCCTGACACTGTAATCAAAAGTAATTTGTGGAATTACCAAATATTTGACATGGAGTACTTTTCTCAAGGTTGAGAGAATCTCATTATTATCAGAATTGTTACTCCAATAAAACTACCTCTCTGCACACAAAACCTCCTCTAAATATTTGGTATAAACAACATGTTGTACTGTCAAAATGAACATAAACCATGAGTTCCAAATGGAAATAATAATGGTGGAACACTATTTGTTGAGAATACTGTATGCATGATAGAGTTTCTGGTGCCACAGTACCTACACCTAAAAGATCACCATCACCATCAAAGGAATATTTTTATTAAGTGTGTTTCCTTTTGTGAACATGAAACTTTATAAATTGTGATAGTAAAGCAATGAATGAATTTGGAAAGCTGACATATGATTGGCTCCAGAACACACATGCTTCATGTTGATTGGGCAATGTCAATGGTTTGTTGGTGTAAAGTATGAGTGTGAGGTTGCAGAGACGCAGACTGGAGTTATTGATCAGATTTTGATCACACTGAGGGATATACTACATCAGGTGGCCTAAAATATGGCAGGTCACAGACGGCTGGTCTCAACACACAGGGTGGAAACATGGAGAAATGTTAGACGCACAAAGAAACTGAATATTTCTTATTTGTCTTTCTCCTGGAGCAGTTAACCTCATATGTAATCTTCTCATCATTCAAACATCACTGATTTACTGATTGGTCATGAAATTTTAAATAAAGATATTTTTATATGAAATCTTGTCATGTGTTGCAAGTCTTGCAGCGTTTGTCAAATCATGATCTCGGCCACACCATCAAGCTGACACACCGTGACATTACTGACATGTTCTTAAAGTTGACAGCATATGATAGAACAATATATGGGAGTGAGTTTCCTGATAGGAACTACAGACCCGTGCCAGATACCTGATGTAATTTCCATAGACTTACAGGTTATTTCAGTGTAGCAAATAATTTTCATGAAGTGAGTTTATGATGGATCTTTGTAAAATTTGACAGGCAAATTTAAAATCATCTTTGCTCTGCACACATAATTTAAGTTCAGTTTTCCGACCACTATTTAACTAATGACATCACATTTATCAACTTACGTATGGTTCCACAATGCACAATCCCAAAGGCCATACTGTACATATGTTGATAAAATTGTTGCCATTCGATAAATAAGCAACGGAAAGTTAAACAGAAATTATGTGATTGTAGGTAAGATAATTCCTCACAAATGTGCAAAATGTGACTTTGATCTTACGAAAATTAAATTCATGAAAGTTTGTTATGCCACACTAAATTAACATGAAAGTCTATGGAAGTGCGTCAAGTGTCCGAATATAACTGGTACGGGTCTGTAAGTTTGAGCTCAATACATGTATATACTAGTAATTGGGTATAACAATTAGTCTTGAGCTCAAACTACATCATCTAATCTTGTAAACTGAGTACTACTGAAATATAGTTTCCCTATGGATATTACCCGTGAAGATCCGGGTTAGAATGAATCTTTAGTAACCCATGCTTGTCGTTAGAGGCAGCTAACCGGATCTGGTGGTCAGGCTCGCTGACTTGGTTGACACATGTCATTGTATCCAATTGCCTACATCGATGCTCATGTTGTTGATCACTGGATGGTCTGGTCCAGACACGAATATTTACAGACCGCCGCCACATAGCTGGAATATTGCTGAGTGCAGCCTTAAACACCAACCAACCCAATGGATATTAATAATAACGTCAATAAACATTTACATAGCACAGGTATCCATCTTGGACCGGCTGGAAGGTATTTGACATTTAAGGCCTCAGTCAACCATATCACAACTATATGTGTAAATAATCTAGTCTGTACCAGATAATCCAGTGAATGGCATGAACACCATCTATGCAAGGGGGGGGTAGGCTGACATGCATCAACAAACTCGCCACCCTTGCCAACTGATCTGGTCTGTAAATTCTTTAAGACAAGAAGGGATTAGTGAAGACCATATATATAGCCATACCCATATATTTAAAAAATATGTGGTCAAGTGAGGTAGACTACTGTCAGGTGTGTCGAGGTTGGGGGCACATAATCGCATGGTGATAGCTAAATTTGGAATAAGCTTAGATCAAGCTTTAAGTTTGAGATACACTTCAAAGATCGAGGCAAGGGTGTTTGACTATTGTGTTGAGAAAACAGGAACGTTTCGTTGCCCCGCACTCACTAATATTCCAAAATGACACAGCGTCTTGTTCAAGTCGACGAAGGATCAGAAAAACAGTGACCGAAATCATGAACAACAGCCAAGCAATCGAGAAATAGCGACTCGCAATCTGCAGTTTGCCAAGCCAACCTGATCCCCCTTCGCGACTCCGTGACTCAGTATAGTTTTACGCCGCTTTCATGGTAACCGTCGTGAGGTTCTAACAATCAACTGCTAGTAACTTGGTAGGTGGGGAAGCCTTGTGGTGTCGTTTGGACCCGAGTTCGATGTCCTACGTGCGTACAATGTGTGAAGCCCATTTGTACCCCACGCCGTGATGTTGTTGGAATATTGCTTAAAAACGGCGTAAAATCATACGCACTCATTGTAATCGAGACAACTGCTGTGGAAGGAACAAAGTAAAATATCGTCCCTCTGCTTGTATAGGTTAATTAGGTTAAGTTTTCAGAGCATGCCCAAGCTGTTAACACAAGCTTGATACTCTTGTTGAATACGTAAATACGTGGGGACTCGAATCAATACGGACGTTGTGAAGGGCACACTGGACATCGGTAACATGTCAAGATCAAGCATGAGTGAGTGGACCCTTGAAGATCCATGTATGGAGTTGTCTTCATCGACTTGTATCTGTCGCAAGAGTGAGTGAGTTTAGTTTTACGCCGCCTTTAGCAATTTTACGGCGGAGAACACCTGAAATGGGCTTCACATGCGACTATCGGGACAGGGACGCTGACTTAGCTGATACATGTCATCGTATCCCAGTTGCGTAAAACGATGCTCATGATGTTGACCACTAGATTGTTTGGTCCAGACACCATTACTTACAGACCGCCATAACAGAAATATTGCCGGAGTGTGGGGTCAAACACCAACTACCCAAGCAAACGAGAGTGAGTGAAAGGAGTACATACAGTGAGTGATTTAACGGCGCTTGGAACAGTCCGTGTTATGGAGAACTGTGCAAGTTGCAATTGACCTGCTGTTGGTGACACATTTCAGGAAACCTAAGATGCTTATAGAGAGTGAGTGAGTTTAGTTTTACGCCGCTTTTAGCAATATTCCAGCAATATCATAGTGGGGGACACCAGAAATGGGCTTCATACATTGTGCCCATGTGGGGAATCGAACCCTGGTCTTCAGCGTGACGAGCGAACGCTTTAACCACTAGGCTACCCCACCGCCCCTAAGATGGTTATGCCAATCCAGAGTTAACCAGTATTAACTTAAGCAGAACTCAGGGCAATGTACAAAAAGAAAAGTATAAAATGGTTGTCAGTATAAAGTAATGGCGGTGTTACACACCATCATCGTTTTTGAATACTTGTTTCATGAAGAACTCTAACTCACATGCGTAACTAGACTTGTGATATGTCCATGTCATTATATTTAATGATAATGGAGTGAGTGAGGGTTTACTCCGGGTTAAGCAATATTCCAGCAATGCCGCAGCAGATGACACCAGAATTGGGCTTCACATATTGTACCCATGTGAGGAATCCAACCCGGGTGTTCGGCATGACGAGCGATTGCTTAACCACAGAACTATCCCAGCGCCCGAAGTAATGGAAGTCACTTATGAGACTGACTGACTTATTGACTGGTATTACGCCGCTTTTAGCAATATTCCAGCAACATCACGGCAGGGGACACCAGAAATGGGCTTCACACATTGTACCCATGTGGGGATTCGAACCCGGGTCTTCGGCGTGACGAGCCAAAGCTTTAACCACTAGGCTACCCCACCGCCCTCTTATGAGACAAAACATGCAGGTTTACAGTTCGGAATTTTGTATGTATGATTTTGTTTTACCAGAGGGTTTACAATCGTGCGTAGCTATGGTTGAATACAAACCTGTATTTGCTTTTCTCTTTAATGCAAGTAGAACGACCAAAGCATAAAACAACGCGAACACCCGATCGAGATGCAAACTCATCATCAAAGCCGCATCATTAATTTTAAGCATTTGTATCAATAATCTAGACTTAAATTTTCTGATCGTTTACCACTTGAAGAATGAGTGTGGGCGTTCATGCAGTGGTTTTTATAATAAATTATTCGTACCTAAGACAAAATAGAACATGTATTTGTTCGCAGAATTTTCCCAAAGAGAAGATAATGGTGGGCGAGTATTTTCTTTTGCAAAAGAAACACACTTTCACCCACTGGAACATATACACATGGGACAAAAATATCGCAAAACCCCATATTTTTCATATTAATCACTGCAAATGAAGTTATTAAACCTGAGTTCAACTTATTATGTGGATACCCTCACGGAATAATTAAATAACAATTCAAAATGCAAAAAAGAATGAAAACCTGTAGTTTATTCAAAGAAGCACGCACGACAAACATATGAATCACTTTATAGTGCTGATAACTAAGGTTGTATGACGTTAACAAGTGTGGCCATGATTCTGGCATAAAATCCTCCCAAAATCACATGAGTATCAAAAACTAAGCTCAGTCTCAACATCCAAGGGTAAGCTCCGACAAAATCAACATTCCTGACCCTTAAAAATTTCTTAATCGACTGTTCATTTGACGTTGATTTGAATTGCGTCTCATTGTTGAAAGGGGGTGGGGGACAGGGGGGCTCGTTCCAATGCATCAAGATTTTGGACTGGGGGGATCAAGCGTATTTTGTGACCCATAGTGACCCAAACATTCTCGGTGGATGGAGATCTCGACACCTGGAGGGCCAAGGCTGACGTACGAAATCACCAATGGTAAGTGGCCTAGTATTATCGTCCGTGAACACGTGCCTTGGAGTATGTTTATCGAGATATGGTACAACAGCCTGTCTTGGATGTCAGTGCATTATATACTGTTGTCCATTCACATTTTGCCTGATCGTAACAAAGCTGTATACAGAAACGTACCTTGGCCATAATGAGAATACAGAAACGTACCCTAGGACGATTCCATTCCCATTGTGTCGTATTCTTGACCGGAACTGTCATACTGTTGTATTAGATACATTTGATTGCGTTATGTAAGTAATGAGAATACACAGTAACGGATATTTCGCGATGCACATGAATACCACTCGGAATCAGTTGAACGGGAACAACTACATACGGTTTCGCTTTTGGATTGCGGAATATGGACTCGTCCGCCTTTTAGGGTACCGGGTACGTTTCTGTATTTTGACTTTGTTTAGGGTACATATCTGTATACAGAAAGGTACCTGGGGTACGTATTTGAAGTACCTGTGCCGACAACGACCCCTTCAGCATCAGTCATGAACAAAGAAATCGACTTTCGTCCACCCAGTGTACCCTACCCCGTGACGTCAAATTTCAGTGACGTCGAGCTTGACACCACGCATGTCGTGTTGCTTCCTTTATCTTTTTTATTACTTAATTCACTTATGTAAATTTGGCCACGTACAGTGGGAACCGGTACAGTAACTACAGAACCCGTCCGCCTGTGTGAAAATTGAAGGGCAGGGATTACATTGCTCGATCACAAGTATCGTTAATCCCAAAAAACTCATTCTTCTGGAAGTAAAAATAAAACTTGGTATGTCTTGTA